TGTCTGTGTATACTCAATTTATTAAATATAGTTCCACATGTAATAAATGAGTTGTATTTAATTTGCAGATAGTTTTTTGCCTGCTTTTATAGTGAAATGGATGGTAAGTAAACTCATTTCATTTCTCTTTTAGCGTGGATTTTAAGGAAGCTGATGAGCTTTCGTGATCTTAATGTTTTTATGATTTTCTTGGAATATAAGTTGCGAAGATTACTTGCACTTTTACATTTTGCGTTGTTTTCTGGAATTTTATTCTATAGAATTTATTTATTAGACTTAGATGCTGTAGGAGATCAATGGATGAACTCTGGCTATAAAAATTGCATAAGTGAGACTTTTCATTGTTATCACAAAATTCAACATCCGATCAATTACCTTTCACAAACTAGTGTTACTAGGGACACAACATCAATTGAAAAATCATGAGAAAGCAAGGAATAAAGCATCACAATCATCTCAATAAATTACCTTAATGCTGTTAATTTATTAAGTGAAAGGATGGAACTATTCGAATAAAGTAGCATTAAGTGATGTTTATGAGAAATTAAGATAAGCTCTCTGCTTGAAATAATAATGTAACTTCTGTTTTGAAGATGTTCGATTATGACCAGCTATGGATACATTATTTCTAGTTGATGATGAATTTTTATTAAATTTTCAAACACTTAGTAAGTTTTACATGCAGCCTCAAAAGGCAAAATTATAATTTTCGTGGACACGACTTGAAAATGTCATTACATAAACTTTTCAGCAGACTTAAGATTATTTAATTCCTTCTTAAAATTCCATTTAAGCTTTAGTAAATTTTATAATATTTTAAATTTCTCATGATCTTGAGGAATTCAAGGAAATAACCAGGACATACACAAAAACAGACCAAGCAAGTTTCCCCACAAGAAAAAAGTCACCCAATCTCAATTAAAGTCATTCCATACTTGCAAATAAAATTCATTTGCAAAACTGCATTTCATTGCAACACGACAAGATCTCTTATTTAATCATTTTAAAAGTGACTACATGTTATGTGAACTTATGCACAATTTTATTTATTCCATTTCATCGAAAAACTATCGTTGTTGAATAATAATTTATTTATAGACTATTAAGCTACGAAACTGAAATGTTAATAAAATATTTACAGTCGTTGATAAAAATATTTGATAATAATAAGAGAAACTTTCATCAAATTAACAGTTTAAAATCAACGATAATTGTTTTTCTGCTCGAAGGCTATCAAAAAAAAGGCATGAAAAATGGCCCTTTGAATAATAATCTAGAAGGGAAAGTGAATGCGGTCCACTTGATTATGACTTCAGATTAACTATTAAAATATTTTCTCGAAGAAAACAAAAAATTAATTTTCAACGCGACACTTAAAACGAGAGAAGAAAAAGCCACAAAATAATTAAAATAGAAAGGTTTGACGTGGGGCCTGAACTGAAAAAATTAACAAATAATGGCAAATAATCTGGTTTTGTTGGAATCATCAAATTTATGTTAATCATTTCCACATTAAAGATGGGCTAATCAAGCATGCTACAGTTTTAATTTAAATTCATTCACAAATCAATTAGTACGACTCATTCTCTATTTTAAATATTGGATTTTTATAAAAACCGAATCATTCATTTTCTGGCATTTAGTTAAAGTAAAAAGAGAGATGTGAAGGAGAAGAAAGTGCTTTAGCTGTTATGTATCTATTGTAGATACACAAGAATAAGATCTTGCCCCGTTAATTTTCTCATTAGCAATATATTTTATTTCAATACTTAAAAAAAATACTCTTCTCGTCTTCCATTTCTTGTATTCAATTTCACAGAAGAAAAATAATAGCGGGAAGTCCATGAATGATACTATCCCAATCAATAATCATTGTAACAATAATGAGTCGAATCAGATCAATCATAAATTTTTTTTGGGAGGTCTTTTTTATCTTCATTAAATATGTCATTATTTATTTTATGAGATCTAGCTCATTTCATTCTGATTTTATTGCTTCTTTTATGCTGGATTTAAATGATACCGGAATCTTTCAAACAAGGTGTGATGACTGTTTTGTAAATATTGGGCGAAGATACGGTTTATTTGTAGATTTATTTTCAATTTTATGGACTAGATGAGCCATTTATTTGGGTTTAGATTTTAAAAGGAAACTTTAGACTAAGTTGCTTATGGTCTATGGTTGATAACTAAGTGAAATTGAAAAAATTAAAAATTGTTTAAAACTTTATAAGACTTTAATTGTCAATCGACCTCAAAAAAATTCACTCTCAAAAACATGCGAAAATTTCCTATTCAATCCAGAAAAAGTCAACAACCCTCGAGCATTTTAGAGAAACTTTTTGAAATCTAATCAATATTTCTTTTCAGCCTTTTATTACTTTTATCTCCTCAATTTTTATTTTCGATCTCTCGAGTCCATTAATAAAAAAAAATATTTTCAATACAATTTAATCGCACCGATCTTCGTTGTCAATAAAAGTAACATACGAAGAATTTTGCAATTTTTTTCTTCGGTCAAAATCGCCTATTCATTGCGGACCGTCCATAAATGAGACCTCTAAAAAATCTCCTCTTTTGTTCTCACATAATTGTCATTCATGTTTAATGATCGCATAATGGCAGCAATAACATTTTATTATGCTCTCGCATCGAATAGTGCAGACCAGAAAAAAATCTTTTTGTTATGTTAGAAATATAAGACCTCGAGTGTCGAAAACAATCAACAACGACCGCTACCAAAATGCAAATTTTATGTCCGAAAAAAAAATTGTGAAACGACTTGAAAAAATTTATTAAACAATAAAGAAAATCTTAAGTGTTAATAATTCATTTTTTAGATCGACGATTAAAGGTCGGCAATGAAAATAATAATGGAAAAAATCAACAATGTGCTGCAATGAAGTTCTTATGCATTGTTGTTCTTGGCACAAGTCTTAAGGAATTTGCAGAAAATATGTAGAAAAATTTGATTGGATTCGATTTAGCAAACATTATATTATAGATAAAAACGACTCTCAAAATCCAATCCTTAAGAAATTCCCGCTGCAACGCGAGATGAAAAAAAACATAAACAAACAACCAATCCACCTTGATCTACAAGCCTAATGATCCACACGTAATGCATGTAGTGTCAAGTGCGATTATCATGTGTTGTTATCTACTGTTCTACTGATTTTCTTTCAACTATGCCATTTCCATTGCGTCAGATGAAATTGGTTCCGTAAGAGTAAACAACTCATTCATTATTATAAAGCATTTCTCATGTTTTATGATGATGAATGTGCATCAGCTGGAACGACTTAAGAACCTCTTTACGCGTTTATTTCTTCTTTCCATTTCTCCCAGTTCCCATGACGATTTATTACTACTTTTCCTCCATATTCATATTTAAAAATTGCACTAAATAATGGAAACAATGAATAACAAGTAACGTAAGAGCTCAAAATATGAAATGTGGGTGAACTGTGTCTTATTTTTGGCTTCTAGATTTCAACGAAAAGGAAAATTGCAAATAAAGAACAGCACAATTGTCATTGAGACAGTCAAAAACGGTTTTCTGTGTAAGTGTACGAGTGAGCGCACGGCACAAGTAATTATTACAAAATTGTCATACCAAAGAATTTTCTTTCATCATCGTGAGCATTGACGAAAATCATACAACAGTTTTAAATTAATACCTTCGTAAAATAGATATTATTATGATGTTTTAGGTGCGGATGTTGATGATTCTGTGCGTAGGGGTGAAGATTTTGTAACTTTTTTATGAATAAATTGTTTGTCTTCTTGATACTACTAACCTAATGATACTGATTTAAATAAAATTCCGTCAAACTTGTTTTTTTACGGCACTTCTGACTCACAAAACTTGTCACAATCTTTCCATTCTATAAGTTAAGGTTGTTCTTAACATTTGGCATTTACTATATTGTCATAATCAAATACGATTAGATTTCATTTTATGATTCATAGATTGAATATTAAATAGGTTTCAAATCTCGTGTCCTTAACTGGCGACTCTGGTCGAGAAAAGCAGCCGATCATTTTTAATAGAATTTAATAACATAAATTCTTGACATTTTTGCTAAGTTGTCATCCGGGTGAGTGGGTATGGTTGGGATATTTTAAGTTAAAATAACAACGAGGTGATGCTGTAAGGCACTACAGAAGAACATGAAAGCCTTTTGTTAATTAATTGTATATTTTAAACTATTAATTTTTCAATTTTTCTAATTTATAACACTACTTTTAATTATAAGATTTCTTTAAATTTTAATTTAGCGCCTAGCAGGAATTACTAGCAATTTTCTAGTCTTTCTATTCTACTACTTGCAATTTACTAGTTATTATTAAAACAACTTACTATTATTAAATTACACCTACTGTTTAATAGCAAATTACCATGTGAAATGTTTGATCAAATCTGCTTAAGTTCGAATCCTACGAAAAATCATCAAAAAAAATTTTTTTTGCGTCATAAAGAATTTTGTTCTAAATTTGTCATATACTTCACAAGAGCGCGCAGAAATTACCTTTATAAGGTCGATCCAAATTTGTTTGTGACATTCAATTAATTATATATCTTCCTCAGGTTTGCGTGCGAGTCATTTTTTTTCATAGTGTTAGTGTACTTTAATTAACTTTACTAAGTGCACACTAATACTTTTACAATAATTTACACAAATAAGAAAAATCAAAAGAACACGTGGAATTCAACGGTTATATTCATTTAATTTTTTTACAAATTTGCTATCAATCTACTTTCAATATGTTCCGCCTTGAATTCATTTAACTTAATAAAAGGATTATTATTATACTTGAACTTGGATTTTGACTAGTAAATAGCAACTAGCAAATGGAAAGTTATTCAGTAAATTACTAGGAAATTACTAGTAATTTTCTGCTAGGAAACTTTACCTACAATATCAGTTAATCACATCCCGAACAACAACTCTGCAAAAACTGCCACTCAAAAAAATAAAATGAAATAAAGAACTCACCTAATTGTGATAATGCAGGATTTGCATAAATTATAAGTGCCAACAGGAGCACAACCATGTTACTCCGTTGAAGCATATTTGAAAATATTTTTCTGCTCTTTCCGGAACTAGATGTGATAGACGAAAATAAAAAAAAAATCCAAAAAAAATTGACTTAATCCTCTATGTCTGAATCCTCAAAAGTGTGCTTGTTTCACTTGCTACTTTTTTAATCCACAGAATGTATGAAAAAAGAGCTATAAATCCAGGTATTAGCACTTTTTAATGATAAATCAAAATTATATTCCTTACAAAAAATTTATTGCTCTATTATTGAGAGTTTTATGGCACCAACATAAGAGAACACACTTTAAAATTCAATTTTCTGTATCCTTTTTCTTTCTTTCTACACCAGGAAAATTTAAATTCCTTCTCGAAATCCTTAAATAAATTATTTCAGAAAATTTCGATCAAATTTTTTCACTTTGCTTCCTTTGATTTTTTTCGTTATTTAATTTAAAATTTTTCTTCTTTTTCAATCAACATGAATAAAACAATTCCACACACGATTTATCTTTTGAGCCAACTAGCCATTTCGAGTGATCGCCAGTGAAAAAAAAATTATTATCGCTTGTCACATCCGACATCTGCTTGAGCAGAAATTTCGAATTATACTAAATATCGTTTTGATTGTAAATGAATTTGAATGTTTCGTGCTTTTCCCTCAGCACCAATTTTGTGTCTTGTTGTTGCCTTCTTGTGTTGATCTCCAACAAATGCAGTGGTATTGGTTCTCTTCTCCCAGTTTCTTTTCTTACAACTTCATATTGTAGTAATAAAAAGCGTTTACTTTTTCTTTTTTTTCAAAGTATTCAGCATAAAGACACTTGAAGCGGCTTGAGGAAAGAAAAATTCAGTTATGTGCACGAGAAAGAAAAAAGAATTGTTGAATGGGAAAAAATTGAGTTGAGTTGAATACACGCAAAAGGTGAAAAAAGAAAGAAATAATAAAAATGTTCATACATATGTACACAAACGTGCAAAAGTCCCACTTTTACTTATTGCTCTAGTGTTGTAGCCCCTTCCACCTTGCTTACTTTGTGACTGTCTGAAAAGCAAAAACAAACTGGACAGTGGAGAGTGAGTCTACGCAGAATACAGCTACAACTATGCATGTATATCTTTAGATATATCTATTGATTTACATATTTACAAATGCGCAAAGAAATCAAAAGTTGTCGACTCACTTAAACATTATCGGTAACATGTTTTTCCCATATATGTTTGTAGGAAGTTCTTGTTGAGAACGGCAACAATGTTTATGCCTACTTACACTTTTTTACATGCAAATTGAGTTGCTGAAAAATCCTGCGTGGCTTTTTAAAATTCAAACGAGAGTTAATTGATTTGAGAGAAAGTAAAATTGGCTATAGAATTATCCAACTGAAGTTGACAGATTAATTTAATGATCGTGATCGAAGGCATCAATAATTGTAAGTGACCGATGACTTGATGACTTTAATTGTAGTGATTTTTAAGTTGAATTAACCTGTTTTGCTGCTTAATCAAGTTAGACTAGACATTTTGGACTCATATGATCGATTTAGAATATATTATGCTAGAGGTTGGAGTTTGACGTTGGTTATAAAATAGAAAACAAGCTTGGAATCCAGAAAATGCTTTTGGCTATTTAATTTTTTTAAAATATCGACAATATTATCTATATTTACAAACCTCCAAAAATGGCAAAAAACCGCCAACCTCTAGAATATAGTAAATATTCAAGTTCAAGGCATTTGAATTTCTTAATGGCAAGCAAGCTTGCAAACTTGAATATTTTTTAAGATTTTAACTTAATTCCTATTAAAATTTTAAATTGAATCATCAAAACGTTGGTGTATTGTTGACTTAAGAATACACTCAATCATGCACGACCAGACTTTTTGTTGTGTGCAGAATTTCTCGGAGATTTATAAAGATGGTTGGATTTTACCAATGAATTTTCAGACAAATAATCATACATTAATCATTTAAGATGTCTCACATCTGAATTATAATTTTTATGAATATTTGATCATGTCATACCACAAAAACTCAATCTTACACTTAAGTATTTTATAATAAGTTTGAAATTTTGACGTCATTTGTGAACAGCACCTTATCTATTCTTGAATATCTCATCTCCGTTTACTAATCGCTATGCATTAAAAGATTTCAAAAGATTTTGATGAAATAAATTCGTCAATGAGATTCAAATTTAACAATAAATCATTGTTAAAGTCCTTCAAATGCTCTTTTCTTATTTTCCTCGTCTATGTGACAAAAATATTTCACAAAATGCAACAAACAATTCATATGAAGAAATGAGCATTTCATGCTGTGAGAAATAAAGAAAATGTGATTTTGATGATGCTTTGGAATTGTCGTTACTGTTGTAATTTGTAAACTAATGAAAAGATCTTTAAGCTCTGTACTTAAACATTTTGTAGGATAATTGAGGAAATTAAGTCTAGCAATGATGTTTTCCCAGATCAACTGAGGTGATTGGAATTTGGGTTATTTGTAAGTGAGCTTGAATTTTGTATTTTCATTGGAATGATCTCTGTGAATGGGGAAAATTAGGACAGTAACAACCATTTAGGGAATTTGGATGCTTATGCAAAATCAGAAGACTGACTATAAGATATACTTCAGCATAATCCTGTTTCAATTAAGAGCAACTCACATCCTATAGCCCTGAATATTTCAACATCAGAAACAATTAAACGAATCACTTTTATCAACTAGCAGACTAGCACATGTCTACTAAATTCATAAAAGGCACTCTCGACCATTCAGCAAACGAGACCAACTTCAACCTCATTAATGGCAATACCGATGTGAGTTTCTTTCATTGATGAATTAAATTTCCCTCAAAAACAAGATTTCATATTGCATAAAAACACATTTCATTCATCATATGATCGTATCGTCAAGAAAGTTATAGACTAATGAAGTGTCGTGCCCAATTAAATTTCCCTTACGAAGCAAAAAAAAAATGAAATTGCAGAAAAAAACTTCATGTGAACTTTTTGCACTAACATACCCATCAGATTGTAAATAAAAACTTTATGTATTTGTACGATCGCATAAAAATGCAAGTATGAAAAAGTATGCAGGAAAATGAATGATTTAATAAATGTACCATTTAAGTTAATAAACTTAAGAGAAAAAAATATAACCACAAGTTGTAATTTAAATTTGTTGTGCTGTACTCACTTGATATTTCTTACTTTCCACATGTACACTTGTGTATCGTTTCATTATGTAAAAGAGTTTATTGAAGAGAAAAATGGTAATAAAATGATAATCTATCAATGTCTAGTCGCAACATATGATGAAGATATTAAACATGACAATTAATAAATTAGAAGAAAAATTTGCTTTCGAGTTGATGTGGAAATTTAGCTTAAATTTATGTATTGTCTATCCTTGAAATTTTTGAAATGATTTAAATGTAGAAAAATTGTTTAGTGAATATAATAAGCCTACAATTGAGATAAGCTGCAAAAAAAGAGAATTGATAGATTAGACATTCAAATTAATCAATTAATTGCAATGCCAAAGAATTCTTTGTTGTCTAAATGCTGATAATTACTTTATTGTTGCTTATTCAAGAGAAGAAAAAAATAAACAAGTTTTTACATCTCTTAAGCCATCATGCAATGCCTTGTTTATTAAAAATTGAATATTTAAAGAATTTTTTCTCACCAAAAAAAAAACACTTTTGGAATATTGATTGTACCGCATACCGGCATACTGACCGATTCAAAACAATACACAATGCACAAAAAATGTGTAAAACCACGAAGAAACAGAAAATATTTTTGAAAGTGTGGTAAGAGGCATAGAAAAAAGCTTTTTTTGGCGGATAGAATTAGCGAACAACGTGTTCATTTAAATATTTTGAGGCACAGATTCTTAGGTCATGAATGTATTTGTGTCTTTGAAATTGTTTGTAGAAATGACTAGAGAGTCCACGAAAGTAGCAGGAAAAAAATTCCAGATTAAATCAAATAATGAAATTTTTTGAAGCTTCTAAAAGCTGTTCTTAAATTTTCAAATCTTCAAAGTCTCATGGATCAAAAGTTAATTGGATGTTTTAAAAATTACATCAATCATATGATCATCAATCTCTTTTACATCAACTTAAAACTTTTTGCAGATTGTAGAATAGCTACAAACACCATCCTCTCTCCAATAAATTGTATTCATCATATATGAACGTCCCCAAGTCTTCCAATAATTCAATGATCCCATTCTGTTCAAAATCTTCTTTTCTTTTCATTCCGAAACCTTCAATATTTTCAAACAGTGCTACGGATTAAATCTATGTCTACTTTTTTTGATGACTCAATGTGCTAGATAATGACATATACCTATGAATATGGAATAAAATAATAGCTGTAATGAAGAAATTTTAAATTGAAATATTAACGAAGAAGAATGAGAAGAAAAGAAATGGAATATAAAGCTAATGGATTAGACCACATTCAATCTTCGATAGCAAGAGACTCATTTATTTACCAAATGAATAGAAAAAGATGTATTAAATTTTCTATGTGTGACTTTTATTGCATCTTTTGCGCATGCTGAAATGATTTTAGTGCATTTGTTATATTAGTTAAGGAGAGTATTAATTTAAGTTTATTTTAGTTTGATTGTTAAAATTCTATAGCTTGACACATTTCTCTATTATATCTGAAAACCACAAAATTATGTGAAAAATAACAATGAAAATATCAGAACCGAGCAAAATTTTGATTATAACATAAAATAATCTTTCACATTTGAAAAGAAACACTTCTTGCCTTTTAGGCTGAGTTGTCTTGATTAATGAACATCGCAAAAAATGCTAAACAGCAGGATGGTGGGAATTGTGCTTAACAATTAATTTTATTCTCACCAAATTCTGGCTGTGAATTCTCAATATTCAAATTTTGTAAGATTGGAAGTGTTAAATTCCATAAAAGTACATGAGAATCGGCTAGTACCCAAAAATCTTACATAAATTCATAGACTGCTGTCAAAAAAAAGAATAAGAATCATTTCCACATAAGCGTACATCCACGATTTTATTCACTGATGAGTAAGTGCTTTAAAAACTTCTATTTGCATGACATATAAAAAGAAATTTTATGAATAGTAAATACACACACGACTGAGGAGAGGCTAGCAATGCCAGAATATTTGACCCACTCACTCCTTTACTATTCATAACCCATTTCTTTCTCTCACTTACTTTTTATTTAAATAATTTTTTTTTTGTTTTCTTACCGAAATAAGTTGTCTCTCTGTGTATAGTCATGAACATGCGATCATCATATTCTTCATTTACTTAGCTATGTGGCTTTTGAGGTATTTACAGACAATAACAAGGCAAAGTGATTCTCAAGAATTCGCATCAGTGAAAAAAAATTCATTCGTTGAAGTGTTTGGAAAAAATTTCTTTTATTATTCATTCCGTCAACGGAACTTGATGAACGTGATTGTGATTTAAGTAGCATAGAATGAAATGCATTTGTCAGCATACATTACATTATGAGTGCAACAAACGTAAATGAAATGAAAAGAAAATCAGTGAAATTCGAAATTCTTATTTGAGAAATCTAGTTCTTTCAATTTCTTTTTATAGCC